TAAAGAAAGGACTAGTAACTCATGCAGCACAGAACATATTGTTAATTTCCTAACCCATTCCAGGTAATAAAAATATTTATGTATTGACCCTCACAAGTGTTTGGAAATGCAAATATTTTAACATATATTTAATAACTTTTAAATCTGAGGTCCAAAACCACTTTGAACCAAGTGGTTCTGGCTGGGGTTTTCGAAGCTGCCACATACATACAAGCAGCTCAGAATGATTTTCACAAGGATCTGACCACCTAGAACCCTTCAGCTTTTCTGAAAGTTCTAATAAATACACTAGTAGCTTCAGATTCCTTTCATTCTCATTAAATGGCTCTATATTTTTAGGTATAGTATGAACTGCTTCTTTTCCCCTTTCATTATATTCTGGTTGTTGGGGTTTTGTGTATGTATGTATGTATTATTATTATTATTAATTGTTTTTATTTGACTATGTCACTCTTACTTGTCCTCTTTCTATGTGGAAGGTCTGAAAGTTCTGCAAACCTCTTCCTGCCAAAAGTATTTTAGCAATGTAAAAACCATGTTATGTCTTTGTGATTAAGAGCTGAGCATTATATTATGATCCTCATTCTTCTCTGTGTGTCACTCAGTGGGAGACAACTGGGCCACAAAATTACAGCTCCAGCAAGATTCAAGAGCTAGGATCTTTCAGCTTTACCATCAAAGACTGTGCCAATTGTCTATTTCAGTCCAGTTGGTCAATGGCATAAACTGCTACTTGTATCAGTAACAATATTTTTTTTTGTGTTCAAATATAAGAGCTTTCCCCATTAAAACAATGTCACTAAAGTATTGTATGAAGTTAATTTCAACACACAGGTTAAAGAAAACCCTCATTTCAGCAAAAGTGGTTAGTACCTGTCTCACCCTTTATTTTTCAAGGGCTTTAAAAATTAACATTCCTTAATAAAGAGAACAATAAATATAAACACAAAGCCACACAACATGCATGAAAAAGAAGGGTTAAAATGCAACTGTATTTCACAAACACAAGTCACAGCCATTAAATTAAATTATTACACATACATTATTACTTATTTATTATTTCAAGCTATACAGGCAACATAGCACCAAACAGGAGATTGTCCTCTCAATGAACATTACAGAAATATTTTGTTATTGAATTTTGGAAACAAGTATTTTCTTTCATTTTTTTTTCAGAATGTCCTGAAATAAAATTCACTATCCCAAGTCTGTTTTATGACATTATTTGGGCAGTGACATCTGCTATCAGTTATCTCTGATAAGGCCCCCCTCTCACTTCCAAAGTTTTAAAAAATGAATAGCAGATGGTAACATCAAAATTTCAAGCAGTGGGATATTAATTTAATGTGCTGTATTGGCAATGAGGTATTTTGAAGTTCAAAATTAGGCAGCAGCAGAAGTAGAGGTAAAAAACTGAAGGTGGTTTTGAAAACCAAGTTCACTGATTCTGATTTCCCTTTTAATATAAAAGATTATTTTAAAGATATAAATACTTTTTACACATTAGAAAAAGTGATTGAAGGCACTTATCATACATAGGAAGAATTTTTGCATTAAAAGGAAAACAAATAAATATTTTACACATGCAGGTTTGGGCTGCTTCTGCTCCTGGAGAAGTCAATGGGATGCCTGACAGTGACAACACTGGAAGGGAACTGGGACTATTTCTAAAAAATAGATTAATACATTTAAAAACCAATAGTAGATTTCTTCCACTACTGCAAAAACAGAATTACATCTAAATTATTCTGGAGCAAGCAAGTAGAAAACTGAAGCACTAGAAAGACAGCCAGTTTAAAGAATATTCCATCATATGTCTGAAGGGCAGTAAAAAAATCGCAAGAAATACAGTTCTGAGACTTCAGGGTAACTTTGAAAATAATCCATTATTTTTATGCCTATTTTATCTGAAATCACAAGTGATACTTATGAATTACGTACAAATCCTAAGAGTGAGGAAAATAAAAAGAATGAAAACCTTTATTTTATAAACATTTCATACAAACAAAATATAATTATCTTTTGTAAGGAGCTATCCTTTCTAAAGATACAAGAAAGGATGAGAACCAAACATATTTCAAATTGAGACATATCTGGTTAAAATTTTCATTATAAAATTAGGTAATTGCCAACAATCCTACAAGAATTGATTGCCCAAATGAAGGTATTACCAACAATTGAAGGTAATTAACAACTACAACTACAAGAATTGATTGCCCAAATGTTTCAAGGTAACATCAACTGCTACCACCAACTGCCTAAGCAGAAACCTTTCTGTTTGGTACCTGGATCTTCAAGGGCTTTTGCAAGCACTGAAAAAGTATAGGGGGCCAAAAATAAGATCAAATTCATTAATTAATCAATATTCATGTTGTCCAAAAATGTGAACAAACTCTCCTCACTATGCAAAGCCTGAAGGTATTGTCTTCTCATATATGAATAGCTTATTCTATTCCTCAAGTGAAATTCTGGGCCAAGCTTCCAAGAATCTTTAGAAAATATATAAAAATTAAAGGTACAAACCTTTAGAATTTGAGATTTACTTGCCTCACATCCATTTGGACAACTACAGAAACCAGGAACAGAGGAGTACACAACCTTTAAGCTTTGTGAGGGTCAGCTCCAGCAGCCATTGACAGAAACTATAAAGTGTAACAGCCAACAGCTGCTGAACTGCAGAATGCACCAACCAAAATTCTGGCTTCAAATCATAAACTGAACCTTCCTTGCAAGGGCCCTTTTGTGCATTTACAACATATGTTTCATGTTAACTATGTTGTGTAAAATTAATCAATAACTATAATAATAATAAAACAAATGTACTTAGAAAGCATACTATTAAAAATCCTTTGTTCTCAAATATATAGTGATAGCTAGTGGAAGAAGTTAGAATCACAGAATTATGGAGGTTGGAAAAGATTTCCAAGATCCTCTAGTCTTGCATCACTGTTTCTGCTTAGGTTTTAACACTGGAATCCCAATAGTAGACACAAAAGCTCAATGCATTGGTCATCTGGCACAGAAATACTACTCAATACTTCTGTGAAAAATAAAAATAGTTATTTGTCTTGTTCTTGCAATCTTACAGAGATGGGAGTGAGTGTAGATGTGACAGGCTTGAGAACTTCAACAGCAAGAGAGCACCTAGTCATTAACAGTTCTCTATATTAGAGCATATTTTATTACAGAAATGTGTAAGATAAGCAGGGCCATGATCTATTCACAAATCACTAGCCAACCCTGGCTAAAAAAAGCTGTTTGTACTAGGCTACAACAGGGCTCCTGTGACTAAAGTTTACTGCTCCTTCCTAATAGTCATCCTTAATGAATAAATTCTGCTCTGCTTAAACAGCAATAAAAACAACTAAAACTCTGTGTTGGCAGCATTTGAACTAGCTAAATTATTTAAATGACAACATATTCAATATGTGAGCCTGCTTTTATGCCCTGAGTCTGCTGTGTTTTTTTCTACAGTATAAGATAGTATGAAGAAATTAAATCTTTTATGGCTGAACCATAGAGCTTGTAATTATATATGAAATCGGCCTCTCTCCGATAAATAGAATCCATTCTAAACTTAGTTTTTGAAGGATTTAAATGGCTTTTAATGTCCCTTGAGGAATAAACCAACATGAAAATCTTTGTCAAACTAAGCCATACACAACATTTACCATACAAGATCTTACAGGTAATCCATTAATGTAGGGCAAACTGAATTACTCAGGGAACGAACAGGTGGTGAATAATTCTTGATCTAAAAGGAAAACAAACATTGAGTTCAAAGGCAACTGTGAGCTGAACCCTGCTTGTATTCTCAGTACCTGATGAATACTACTTAGAGAGTCACTGCTAATTATTTGGAAAATGGCTACATAAGATACTCTGGTCTCTCCTAAACACAAACCCTAAACTCTGCTTTGTGTAGTGGAAGAAAGAGATAACTGTGGGAAACCATTAAATCAAACTTACATTTTACAGTCTCTTTGCAATAAATTAGAATAGTTTATATAAGCATTAGTAATTGTTATAGTCGAAATTTGACAGTTTTTTTAAATGCTGCCATATTAATTCAAAGAGACAAATTATATAATTTTTATTAATTAAAAAACCCAAATAAATGTTGTCCCAGACCATCTCTCAGGGATGTCAATGACAGGTATTTTGCTGATTTTGATGGAACCAGAACTGGATCCAACCTCCTTTGATTGCCATTATTCCCCTTAGAATTTATCACAATAATCAATATAGTTGTCAAATTCACAGCTTGGGAATTATAATGTGCTCTATACTGCAGAGCTTGCTATGATTACTTCAGTATGTTAATAACCTGCTAGTGGCAATTTTAAAGATTAATGGTGATTACAGTAGGCATTTTTACACATTAATAGACAGTGACATGTAGACAATAACATATTATAGTTACATACATAACTATACATAGATAACTTTAATTAGTTCCTGTTTTAAAACCACTAATACAACCTTCTATACAAAAATGTACAAGTAATATGGTGCAAAATGTTTGATGACAGAGTATAATATACATGGATGTGAATTGTTTTATACTTAAATATACTACAGGAAAATAGTTATGCACTAAAAAGTTTAGGGTGTTTTTGCAAATATAAATATGTAGAAAATACTACAGCATAATTTACAGCATAAACTTGTAAATTTAAACACATACCAAATTGTAACCCTTCAAAATGGAGCACCTATTAGGTACTGTTATAGTTATGATGATTTCTAGTAATTTTCAAAATACTCCCTATCATGTTTTACAGACCATGCTGTTCCCACTGAAGGAAATGACTGCTTCTCATTTAATTCTATGACTGCAGGAACAATTTCTTTATAAAACTACACTGACTATATTCTACGTGCATTATTATTTCACAGTTATCAAATTTAAAAATGACATAAAATCTGTTAAAAGACATGGGAAAATAGAGTAACAGAAAAAACAAGAAAGCAAAAAATATCATTGAATGCTATCGTACCGATTTCCATGGTCCCCGATGCCAAGAAACATCACCAGGGCAAGAATGCACATTACATTGTGCCATGTTAGGTGGCTTGTCTAGAATTTCACAGTTTTGATCACCCAACATTTGGCCAGTGGGAAGCTGGCAAATCACCAGTCTTGTCTTTATTCCATCTCCACAAGTCTGAGTACACTGAAACACAGAATTTTATATGTAATAATTTTATTAACAGAGTCACCACATACCATAAAAGCAAAATATATAGCAATAATCAGTACATCATATTATTCACTAGGTCTATTTCCATATTCCCTGAACACTATATTCAAGCATAAGGACTTAAAAGTCTAATCTTATGTAATTCTCTCACCAAAACCTTTACCAAACTACATTTTTATCAAGTGATTTTCGGCAGAAAGTCTCAGTCACAGACACTCCATTAAGGAGAAGTAATGGTGAGAATAAATGTGCATGAATCACTTTCTTTAATACGAGGAAAAGATGGAAATTTGTCTTAAAAGTAGTTTTCCCTACCAGACAGTGGCAGAAAACTCAGATACTGGGCACACTTTTACACAGTCCAGTTTATACAGACTAAGTGTAAAGTACTTAAAGGATGTGTTTTCTGGTTTCAGTTAGCCTGTAATTCTTCAATACCATTTTTAGTCTTAATGAGCTCTTAAAGCCAATCTAAAATAGTTCAAACCTTTCACTGTATTCTCAAGGATTCTAAATTAGAAAAAAACTGTATCATCTACATGAACTGTATCCCAAGTCTATGGCTGTGGACAGAAAAAATATGACATTTAGACTGACCTTGAGAACTGAATGGCTAAATCTGGCCAAAACAAAGAGAAAAAAAGTAAAACAAAAAAGTCACTCAACTAATTTTTCTTCTTTTTTCAATTCCAGTAACTGATTTGCAAAAGTAAGAAAAGTGGGCAGGAATCACAAGAGATTAGAATAAATGCAAAAAAAAAAAAAAAATAGCTTTAACTTTTGTAGCATTTGAGCAGGAATGTGTGGTCAAGATATGACCTCATACAGCATGGAGAATAACATGTCCAATAACATCAAATGTGTCATCAAAATGTTTGAACCAGGCACAACTTTTAGATGCATCATCCTATCTCCATACTTCTGATTTGTAACTACAGCCCTGTAGCCACTACTACTTGCAGGTACTGTTGTTAGTACCTATGAAATTACATGGAATAAAATTTCTCTACCGTTTCTGTGTTCGTTTTTTTTTCTTAGACTAGCTATTGCACTGTGGTTTTTCCATATAAAACCCAGCTTTTTGTAACAGAATATAATTTTCTAAGTCTCAAGATACACGTTATACAACAACTATATGATTTGTTGATGTTGCATATCCTTAGCCTCATACAATACTTACTTCTTTTGGATGTATATTTACATTACTCATATTTCCACTACAGTTCTGGATTTGATCAAATAATAAAGTTTAGATAAACAGGTTGAAACTCATTCTTTTTAAATTTTAAACTCTATTAAATAAGTAAAAACAAGGTGTTCAGTTCCACTACAATCACATAATTATGTTTCTACTTCTAAGCTTATGTAGTAAACAACGTTCCCCTTTGTAAGTGAAATGCTCTTACTTCTCCCCAGTTCCCAAAGTTCCACTGTGGGCAGGGTCCAGAATCACAGTGTTTCGACTCTGAAGGTTTTGTTGCCTCATCACAGTTACTGGCACTTCTTCCTTCCTCATCTTGACATACTACCACTCGGCGGTGAAATCCACCTGCACAAGTACTAGAGCACTACCAAAACAGGTAAACACACATTTTGCCATTGCATGATCAAAGAAATGCAAAATATCTTCATTAAAACAGCTTGGTTATAAACCTTAACATCCAAAACTGAAATCTTCAAATAAAAATGACTACTATGTAGAAGTATTTTATATTTGAAATCATGGAAAAATTACACTTAGAATTTAATATATTCTGAATAACAATAAGAACAAGAATAATAATACTTTTAAAAATGAATGTGCTTCTCTTTTTGACCAAATCTGTACTGCAATAACTTTTCTAGAAATGTTAATACACATGGGACAGAACAAATTAATATATTCTAAGAAAATGTCTTACTGCTCCCCAGGGTCCAGTTCTCCATTGATATCCTCCCACAGAAGGATGGTTCCATTGGTTTAAATTGTCTTGTGGAGGGTGTATTGGGAGGTAACCTATTTCTGGAAAATGGCCTGGATGGTCATGTATTTTTGGAACATGATGATAAACTGGTGGACAGGGTGGCATGTTACATTCTTGTTCCTTAGGAGGTTGGTCTTCAGGATCACAGTAATTCTCATTGATTTGCTGATGATAACTGACACAGATGACTTGTCTTGTTACTGTTCCACTGTCACACGTAACTGTGCACTGACCAAAAGATTAACACAGGGTTTGTCACAGAACATTGATGATTAATGATCAAATACATTGATATTTACTTTCGACAAGAACAAACATATACTTTGCTTTTTCAAGGGATGCAATTTCAATCACACTTGCAAAAAAAAAAAAAAAGAATTCTCTATTTCTAAACAGAGACTTGGCCAATAACCTAAACACACACATTAAAAAATTGTTACAATTAATACTTACAGGGGACCAATTTCCAACTTTCCACTCTCCACATGGGCTAAAGCAGCTTGAAATTTCAGCTGGCCGTGGTAAATGAGCACACAAAGATTCATCTGCTATCTCTCCATGAGCATCTCTACAGCTCACATAGCGAGCACGATCGCCCTTCCCACAGGATGCAGAGCACTGTCAGTGAAAAATTCAAGGTCATCACACTTTGGGAGACTAAAACAAGATCATGCAAGCATCTAAAATACTAACATATAGTTTCTGTTGGTCTGGAACTGAATTGCGTGGCCTTAAATCTCATGAAGCATTTCAGTGTATATAACAGCATTTAAACTATAACATGGAATAATTACACAGTTGCAAGTAGTGACAGAAACATCAGAAACTTCCAGAACACTTTAGTTGTTACACAGGGATGCAATATTTACAGGAGCTGTTAAAATAAAAATGGATATTAACAATCCATTTGCCATTATGGTTTGTATTAGCAGATTTCATTGAGCCCTTTCTGATGCCTTTATAGCTCACAAGTTCAAGGTGTATTTAATGAAGAACTGCTGATAGCCTCAGTTTATGCACCCTTTACTTCTCTTTAGTTAAAATAGCTGTGCAAAAACATAACTGTGTTGTATGCTTTGTTAAATATCTCAAGGGATTAACAGACACATCCACATTTCATAGACAATTTTAAATTTTCTCACTGCTATCAAATAAAACTGATTTTCAACATTATCAAAAACCTTGCACTGAAGAAAATTTATGTAGGAACTGTTTTACTAATGCTTATTTTACAAAAAAAAAGTCAAATTAGATCTTTAAAGACTCCAACTGTTTACTATTCAAATAAAAGATTTAAATAATATTTTAAAATCAAAGATGTTCCAAATACTTAGAAACTGATCAATTACATTTACAAAAACACTTCCTCGTGCACTGTGCAATCATACAAAAACTATTTCACTCAAAACTTCAGCTCCTAGAATTCTGCTTTTTTTCCTGTTATTTTTCCTGGTTTGCTGGAAGTGTCTATCTGCTCCTTAAGAAACAGTTTCTTAAGAAAATATCAGAACTCCTTTTTAATCTATCCCAAGCAGATTTCAGTCCGAAAAATATCTTAATGAAAGCTTCCTGGAAAAATGGGTGAATGAGTGGAGGGCTACCCTGCAAGTGTGACTGCTATATTACATACTGGGGTCCATGATCCATATCTCCATTGGGTCACCTTCCCCACGTGAACTAGAGGAAGTGAAGTAGTCCATAATTTTGTATTTTCTGGACAAGGGGGCAATTCACATTCCTGTAGGGGTGAGGAAAAAAAAAACTTTTGAAATATATGTTTTGGAAGAGTCAAATGTAAACCAAAGGTTAGCATTAATTAACATGTAAATACCATCTTTTATATTTTCCCTGGAATTATTCAAGACCTTTCATTGAATTACTTTGTTTTATTTTAAATGGAGTGTCAAAGAAAATTTATTTGATCTTAAAACTGCATTAGCTATAACTAATAATACTGGCATGTCGAGAAAGAACAGTTTTGACCAACTTGTTGGAGAAAAGGAGCATAGACATTACAGTTTCCTGCTTCAGAGCCACAGGCAGCACAGAAGGACCAAGCAAAGATAGTGGCTGTGCTATCCTGCCCTTTATACCTTCAGATACTGAGAATATAAATTTGCCCAGTTTCAGTCAGTAGTCAAACAGGTACTACAATTAAAAATGCAAAGGATAATCAAACCCAGTGTTTGCACATCTAAGCAGAAATAAACTACACCAATTAACTAGATTTTATATTTAGAAGCTTATTAAAGAAGACAGTTGGGTATTATTTATAAGCAGGATGCAAGACAGTGTCCTTACAATATTTTACGTGTTGAAGCTTCCCCTACTGCCAAATAACCACAGGCCTCTGGATTCCTTGAAGTCATATACTCTATCAACATCACATACCAACTTTCAAACATGTCTTAAAATTACCCTTTTACTTAATTCCCTAGGTAAAATTTGATGTTTGTGAAGAAAAGCTTAGAGTTTCAGTATTTTGTTCTCATTTTAGAAGTGATGTCCTCCAAGTTCCCACACAGAGTCAGCAGAAAAGAGTTATATTCAGACAGTTTTGACAGAGAAGTAGAGAGGTGATTTTTAACGTACTTGACTGTCTCTAGGACGAGTGGCAGCACTGCACTCCCTGTCGTCGTGCAGAATAACACGATACATCCCAGTAACACATTTGACTGCGCGCACCTGGTATCCGCGTCCACATGTTACAGCACACTGTTGAAGGCGGGAGTTTCACACACTTGAAATAGTGCTATTTATAATAAAAGTTCATTTTTAATTACATTTTCTACTTTAAAACTCTTTCTAGAATGAATAGGAATGACTACTGAGATGGTGTTAACTTCCTTTGTGGCAGACTATCAGACTTAACCTGTGTCCCATAATACACTTGGCCTGGGCAGGACGAAGAATTTCTCTCTTTGCCCTTTTCTGTCCCCTGCAGTGAGTAGGCTGGAGATTGGGTGGGAGACTGGAAAGGAACACTGACAGAACAGCTGACCTGATCAGAGATAATCCATGCTCTATAACATCATTCTCAGCAATAAAAACTGGTGAAGAGAAAAGTAGAGGAGGGGAAAGGCGAAAGTAAGAAGTAGCTTCAAAAGACTCACTAACTGCAGCTGTTAAATGTCCTTCTCTACAGAGAGAAGCCCTTCTCTACCGAGTTTGACCAGAGTGCACTCAAAGATGGCATCTAAAACATTAGATGGCTGAAAATATTATGACACAAATCCTAACCCTATAAATGTTATGGTTCAAGCACAAGTACTTGTAAAAACCCTGCCTGTGAATAGCTATCACCAGGTGGTACAGTGGAACAACTGCAATGAAAAGTTCTGCTCCAGTGACATAGATTGGTAAATTACTTGTACAAACCATTTCAGAAAACTATTTTTTTATTCATAAGAATTCTATCACGGGTCTGAATTAATCTTTAACTTTTGCATTTAGCTTGTAAGAATGGAAAGTCATAGTCTTGTGATCACAAGATTACATTATTTTAGATAACAGTGTGGTTATCTCTAAAGTAAAAAAAGAAATGTCTAAATTAAAAATATACTTAATTTTCAAAGGTACATTTATTCTGTTTTTTAATAACAGGTTGTACGTAATAAGACAAAGATCAGCTGCTTTTTGGTTATGATTTCCTACTAACATCCAAGAAACACTGAATAATCTTCTGTTGGTTTGAGTAACCTTATCTTATAAAAGCCACGTGAAGTTGAGTACCTTATATTTTAAATTATTTCTCATCTATTTACTGACAAAAGTTTCCTCCACAAATTAATTCATTTTCCCTAGCATTTTAAATCCACTCTAGTTTACATTAGATGAGTGTCACACAGCAACATATTTTTCAACAGCACTTTCACATAAAGAGATAGCACTGAAGGTAAAAACAAAATGCAACAATAAAATATTAAGTCCTTTTCCCTTCTATTATTAGCATATACATTTCTGTGATTGTTTGAAGTACATTGTAGATTGAAGATATCTATATTAATTGAAGCTACCTCTTGAATATGCCCACTTACCTACAAATATTTGGTCTTTTACCTGTCCCGTTCACCTGAACAGTTTGGTACCCTCATTTTCATTATTCTGGTGATGTGCAAAATATCTTTGATATTAAGGCTCAGGATCTATTACTATTTTAAGCATTTAACTTGTATATGGGTGCTCCTAAATTACAAGTTAGAAAGCCAATAGGACCCTGCAAACAAACATGTGACTCAATTCAACTAAAACAACTGCTTAAGATTCAACTAAAATGTTTAAAAAGTATTGTTTTGTGATTGCTCATAGCCTGAACTATAAAACAAGAAGCCAGTAATCCTTATGTACTCACTGATCCCCAAGGCCCTACTTGCCAAGATGCACATTCACGAAGTTCACACGGTGTTACTGACTCTGGTCTGTCATTTGGGTTACAGAAATCATCTCTCAGTTGTCCATCATTAAGCTGGCACCAGACTTGACGATGCTTCATTCCTTTACCACATGTCACAGGACACTGTAAAATTATTATAAACATCAGTTTGCAAAGACATAAATCTGCATTAAGGCTTCAATTCCTTTTAGCAGCTTGTTCGGTTTCACATTAATAACAAAAAATATTCCATGAATGTAAGTAGTCCAAAAAACCCTATTTTGTAATGAACTTTTCATTTCCTGTTAATTTCATTTCAACTCAAATGTTAATACAAAGAAATTACTATTAAAATTTTAAAGCTCCAAAGTATGAAAACTATGTGAAGATCATTTATTTCCAATACAATAATCATGCATATATTACAGCTGTCACTGGAAATATGTTTAAACTGTCTACAACTTGTTTATATCCATCTGCCCTATAATAAGGTCAATATAATTATATTAAACAGTTTGCTGTATAGTTGACATTACTTCATAAAAAAGGAAGGTATGCAAATTACTGTAAACACATTTGCTTTACGTATCTTCACTACTTCATTTTAATGTAACAAAATTAAGGAGAAAATAAATTCTAGGAGTGCTTTACAGAAGTTGTCATGCCAGTCGTAGATGTGTGATGTGTATCAGACAAATCATAGGACTTAAGAACTTTTACAACCATGTGGTCCTAAATAAAGTAAAACACCTAAACATTTAATGCAGCATATTTTAATATTGATGATCAGGACCAAATGTATTTTAAGGTTTACAAAGTTTCATCACCTCACTCCAGTCAGTAACCAACCAGCTTGGACATAAGAATTCATTGCAACTCTCTGTTACAACTCTTGGAAGTTCCTGGCATTCTCTATCAGGAAGATGACGTCCCAGGTTGTTCATACAAAAAGCTTCTCTGCTTCTGACACCTCTTGCACAGCTCCTGGAACACTGGTGTATAGTTATGAAACAGGAAACAATAAAATAAAACCAGGACAAAATACATTATCAATCTTAAAGGTAAAAGATATTAATGATTGTGCCAGGCTAAAGTGTCCTCCACAAAATGCTAAATTTTAATCCGCAGAATGCTAATATTTTCATTTGAGATAAATTCAGCAATTTGTATAATAGTTCCAAGACAAAGCTCTACCAAAGAACAAAACCAAAATTGAACAGAACTAAATTATTAAGTAAATAAAAACATACACCTTTAATTACCAGATGTTCACTGCTGATATCCAAAACCAAACTGTAAACAAGCTATCCATTCTAATACAAAGATAAGGAAGTTGCTGAAACATAAAGGCTGGTATTAGCTAATTCTACATATCTGTATTTGTCAAAAATTATTTCCTTTTAGTTGTTAAAGTAAAAAAATAGAGAGAATTAAAAATTTGGTATGAATGCTAATCATAACTATAATGGTATAATTATGAAGTTTTAAATCTGTACCTCTGACCATTCTGTGTAGTGCCAACTTCTTAACATACAGTCACCATGGCAAGGCTCTCTGGCTGGTGGTTTCTGCTGATCTGCACAGTACTTATCATCCACTGGAGCGCTGAGTCCTCTTGCAATAGAGTATTTCATGCAGTGGATCTCAACAGATCGATGTCCTGGACCACACTTCGATGTACAGTCACTTTTGCCAACACTATGCCACCTAAAATGATAAACCATTGTAGAAAGCTAACTGCGTTTTAAAAAAATAGGACCATAGCAATTAAAGCACTCAGAGAATGTACCAAGAATTATAATGTAAATATAGATATGCATTTTAGGGATTAAATAAAACAGTAAACTCTATCTCATGACTGGATTTTCAAAGCAATATATAAGAGAATTTGACTCATAGGTTTAAAAGAACTTTTTTTAATTTAAAGGATCTCTTGACTTAATCTCCTGGGTGACTTTGAAAAATGCAAGCTATAATTCTAACTCTTCATCTCTGAATATTTCAGTTGGGGCTATCTTTGAGTGCAAAAACACCAGTCTGTTTCAAATTATTTCCAGTTGTGGGTACAATTCTGGTGGAAAACATATTTCATACAGCAATACAAGTTTTTGTGCCAGAATATATAGAACAGATTCACAATTCTAGTGGGTGATTTTGTACTTTACCAATAAAAATTACAAAAGTACTATAGTTCTATGTGGACTTGAAGGTGTAAATATCTTGTATAAAGCCATTACACCAACAGATTTAAGGAAAAGGAGAGATGGGAAGTTTCAATATCAATCAATAAAACCATGTAAGACCACAATAACTCCATCAATTAGGAACCATTTTTACCTTAATTCACAGTCTGTATTACACTCCTCAAAGATACTTGGTACAGTGGGTATAAGTTCACATCTTTGATCAGACACTACCACATGATCACTTTTACGTACACATGTCATTCTTCTTCTTCGAATACCTTGAAAAAGCACCACAAGAAGTAAATAAAGGGCTAAAATAAGAAAGACTGCCTTATGGATTCCATTAATAATTTAGGAACTGAGATACCCCATTAAGACAAATTGCTGTATACAGCAGATTGTGCACAAACATGCTGCTTTGTGCAGCTCACTACATTCCAGGTGGTGAACAACCTTTCCCAGTCACCCTTTCCACCTCCCAGCTGTCCTACAGTGGTCTCAGGATATCAACTTCCAGAGAACTCCAAAAGTGCAACAGAATGCATCATATATGTCCTGCTAATTAACATAATTTCTAAGTCACCATGTTAACTTAGATGTTGTGATCCTTTCCCTTAATGAAACAGAAAATTTGAACACAGGGTACCTAAAAGATCTGGAGTTCTGGGAGAAATACCACAGTTGACAGCTGTTCAACTTCTCTACCACATGAGCCTGTATACAACCAGAAGAAACTCACCATCACATCAGGCTTTTTTAGCATCCACTAATAAGGCTATTTGTCTGTGTACGTACACTTTTATATATACACATTTCATATGAGATTTGATCCAGCCTTTTTTTTAATAAACTGCTCCTATGTCTCCAAATGTAGGTTTGAATATAGAATTATACTGCGTAAGTTCAATTAAGTACAAAAAATAGCAAAAACAAAAATCAGAAGCTATTCTGTCCTTAAAGGCTCTGTGAACTTAAAAGTTTACTGAGGGTAACAAGTCTCTTCCTTAAAAGTAATGGTGAAAAGTCAGAGAATTTAAAATTAAGCCCTTCCTAAAATCCCATCAGGTCTTTGGCTCTGGTGAAAAAATATTTCACAGTACCTTGGCACATCCTGCTGCAGTCTTGCCAGGGTCCATAAGGATCCCATGTAAACAGATCACTTCCATCTTCTATTGGGACATTGAATGAATAACGCACATCAGGGTTGTATAAATTCCCTACACACAAAACCTTGATTGAGATAAAATGATAGCTGTTTTTCAGTGAATTTGAACATAAAATTATGAACATAATGATCGTATAGGGACTTTTCAAACTTCTGAGAAAAGTAAACATGCACCTGTAAGGTTAGTTCTTCTTCAACTTTATCAGTGCTGTTAATTCGTTCTATTGTATTGTTTGAACCACTGTACTCAAAAATGGCTCCTTGTATATTGATTTCTCTTTTTGACATGCTTACAACAAAATTTCCATTCAAGATAAAATTTCCATGGGCATCAGATAAAGCTGTAAGTGAAATAAAATATTGGAAATCTATTTAGTTAAAAGGTTCTATCAATAAAATCTCATCAACATGTATATTTATTTTAGTCAATGTAAAAAATTGTATCAAACAGTTCAAATTAATGAATTCAACCCTAATCATCACCTGAGAAGTGGTCATGAATTTTCTAAGCCTGGATTTTCTCTGCATTATAGTACTTAAATAATATTTGTTCTGCTGAGTTGCTGACTGCAGTCCTAACTTTTAAATTTAGCTACATTCTGCTAAAGGAAGGAAACAATAACTATTGGTATTTCTGCCCTATTCTACAGCCCACATCCTTGTATTTACTACAGCTACTTCTAGTGAACTGGGTTTTAAAAGTAAACTTGAAAATAAAAATAAATTAGTAAGCATTTGTGATAGTAATTTAATATAATGACCTATTTGCAACAATAAAGATTTCTGACAAGTCAAACATTTTTAAAATAAGGCAAAATTTGTAGTGCAAGATGCTATTCAGGCATTACTACATTTGAAATGGAAGCTAATGTCAGGGGCAAGGGTTGTTTCTGGGCATCAGGTTACAAGGAAAACATTTTCAGAATTCTGAAGTTTATTGGCTAGGATGACAATGGAAGAAGAGACAGGAGGTAAATATGCTTCACTATTTTCTCAGACACTTCAGATAAAATGTAACTATTGTGAAATTGAACAACTAAGATTTCTGGTAGGAGCTACTTATGAATTATTTGTTCCCTACACACACTTGCAAATCTAACAGCATGTGATGACCTTTATAATCTTTATGACCCAGATTTAATAGAAACAGAAAAATACCAGACAATTGGTAAGTTTGCTGATGGCCAGACTGCTTTGTTCATAAACAAATGAACGCTTCCAAGATTTAAAACAACAAATACCTGCATTATTCCTCAGCTCACTTGTGGCATTCCAATTAACATTGTGACAGCAAAGTAAAAAATTGTTAAAATGATGCATGGTGCTATAACTCCTACTCTCTGATGAATTAACACACTCATCTAAGAACTAGAAACCTTAACATCTCACTGATTTAGATACTTGTTTTCTGAAAACTAATATCTACAGAGAGACTCAGGCCTATGAATATACAAAATAATTAGATATTTTCTCTAATGTCTTTATCAGATTTCTCATAATATACATCCAGAGCAGATCTCTGTCAAAAGCACAAAACCTAACCATCAATGTTGTGCATGGTAGGCTTTTACCAAGGTAGTTGTCATCTTCTGGTTTCCCTGAGTAGCTGTGCTGTTGAATATCAATGTTTGTTGCTCCTTTGGGAATATTTACTACAACATTGTAACCTGCAAATAAATAATATACAAAAGTAGTCAAGTATTAGTAAATATGAAAATATAGTATCATTCACAAAACCCTACAGTGCACCAGAGACAACCAATACTGAATGCCTTCATGTGTTTTGAAATGTTAGGTTCTGTGTTCAGATATGTGAGTTCAATTCTTTACCACTAACATGAGCTCAATCTACTCAGAAAAATCCCTAGAGAGCAGAACTACTCTAAAAAGCAGTCAAGTATATCAAGAGGGACTCAGGAAACACTGTGACTGCTCAAAATTTGAACTTTTACAGAAATCTGGGTAAGTCACTTAACATTCAATACCTCCATTCCTTGTTTACATGATTGAGATAGCTTTTTTCTCCAGGAGTATTTCAAGACAGCATGCTAAAATATTGCACTGTTGCAGGCCATGTGCGTAGATAGATACAGTGTTAAACTAGCCACGCTTCATCCACCTTCTTAAAATATTGAATGCACTCCCTTCGAAATACAAATGCTTCACAAGTGAGTCACCATTTCTTGTAATATCTCCAAGTAACATTATGGTAGCCTTGCCACCAGCTAACAAATTAAGGTGCATCAAGATGTACTTTTTAAAAAAGTCGCGCTGCACGTAAACCTAGGTTAAATAATCCAAACGTGTTTCTCACAGGTACTAACCACATATTCAAAATACTCATGGCTGAGAAAAATTGAGTACAGCAAACATTGGAAGCAAATAATTAATTTAAACATGTAATCTGAGGCATTAATAAAATTTTTTATAACTCTTCTACTTATTTCACTGTGTGTAACAATATCACTGTGGCTTTAGTTGATGCACCTCTGTGGATAAATATTTTAATGGCAATATCCTTTTCATTTTGTACTGGGTTTGACTGGGATAGAGTTAATTTTCTTCACAGTAGCTGGTAGAGGCTGTGTTTTGAATTTGTGCTGGAAAATGTTGATAATTGAGGCATGTTCTGGTTATTGCTGAGCACAGCTTATGGAGTCAAAGCCTTTTTTGCCTCTCACCCCACTCCATCAGCGAGGAGGCTGGGGGTGCACAAGGAGTTGTGAAGGCATGCAGGTGGACTCCAGCTGGCCACAGGGATATCCCAGACCATATAGCATCATGCTGGGCCATGCTGGGCCAAAACTGGGGGAAGAAGGAAGGGGGTAATTTTCAGAGTGGTGGCATTTATCTTCCCAATTCACTCTTTTGCATGACAGCCATGCTTTCCTAACTGGACAGTTGCCTGCCCAATTCTTGCTTTTTGCTTTATGTGTTTGGCTTTTGCTTTACCTATGAAACTGTCTTTATCTGAACCATCTGAATTTTCTCACTTTATTCTTCCAATTCTCTCTCCCATCCCACTGGGAGGTAGTGAATGAGTGAGGCTGTGTGGTTCCAGCTGGGGTTAAGCCATGACAAATTCAGTAATTCATTAACTTCCAAGTGCTTTTAATCTATTAAAACTATGCCATGCATTTAAATGAAGATTGAATATATTTACAGATCCCTCACATATACCAGCTGGGGGCAGCACTGCAATTGCAAATTGACAAAATGCATGCTCTGGATAAATACATGGTTTGGTCAATCTTTCAACATACTGGGAAGAAAACCAAAACACAGTTAAAAAAACCCCTCATCTCACACACTGAAGACCTTGTGGTAATAGAATGAAAGAAAAAAAAAAATACGGGAGGAAACTATAAACAAAACTGCATAGCATGTTGTCAAGGATACAGAAAGAGAATAAATCACATACTAGGACACTGAGTATGACCATTGTCCAGGAAAGCCTCAGGTACTCTAATTTGATGCAATAATAACAATAATATATCTAGTTTTCTTTGCTATTAAGCCAACATAGTAATAATGTGTACATAATTAGATTACCATCTTCTAAAATTGAAGTCAAGTAAATTAGTATTCTGCTGTAATGAATTTTTGATTATTTCCTTACTACTGTTTACACAGTCACTGACAACATCGTAACTGCATGACTATAAGCACACACCACAGGTTGCTATTATCAGTTCCAAATTCTGCCTTAGTAAAATGGCTCATTTCAGTTGGAAAGGGAACCAAATTAAATTAAAAGAAAAAGATCAAGTGCACATCAGCATACTTAGCTTGTGATCCTAATTCAGAATTTTTGGAAAATTGTAATTCCTCAGACAATACCTTCAGTCATTAGCCTAGGGATGTCTTAGACCTCCCATGGACATGAGAGTTTTAGTGATCAGTTAAATACAATTTATTGTTTGCATGGCTGTATTCCTACTTGAGCACACCTTGTGATAATCACAAATGTTCAGCATATTGTTCATTGGTATAACTCAGTATTATCTCTCATACGCTATAATTCAAGAATTTTAACATAATTTAAAACATTCCACTAATTAGAAAACCAAATAATAACACAAGGTTTTCCTCATCCCAAAACATGGGGGCTCTTTTCCCCTCCAACTTCAATTTGAAGCAAATAAGTCTGTGACGATGGAAAGTCATTAAATCAGAGTGACAGTCTTGGCCCTGTTTGCATAATGGCAGTTTCACATAATGGTCACTTGAATTGTGACAAATGTATGTGTGACAAAATTCATGTACTATCTATAAGCAACTTCTTAGGACAGACACAAGAATTAATACAGGAGTAGTTGTATAAATTTTTTTGTAATTTTCAGTGGGTGTGTGCCTTCTGCCAGGGGAAAAGAAAATCCAACAGGATCCTTGGCAGACTTTCCTCTTCAGCAGTAATCCCTTTGTTCTATGAAGATCCTATTTGGCAGCTCTCCATGTATCATTTTCACTTCACCTGTGGTCTCTTTCATCCAGTGAAGTGGCATGAAGGAGCCCCTAGGCTGATATTAACCTGGAGACTTCTGTCCTGTTCTATGCTCTAACTACATAACTGCACTGCTACACACCTAAAGTAGTCACTCCATACTTCACAGAAAGGACTATATAAAGAAGAACTATCAGTAGCTCTTGTAAAGAAACGAAATCAAATAAATAAGAAATACCAGGGTTATTCAGAACTTTCTCATTCACTACCTGTCAATGAGGAGGAAAAACATATTGTTACCCCTGTTCTCTGGAAGGAGAAGGGTCACATTTCATAGGCTGTATTTTTCACTCTAGGAGAAAAGGAACCTCATCAGCTGCTCACAACACCAACTTCTATCTCTTTAAAGAACCAAAATGAGATATTGGAATATGTTTTTCAGCTGCAAAATTTCAGACCGGAAAATGCAAAGTACAATGTAGGAAACAGTCATCCTTTTAATGTACTTTTACTTTCATAACTTCTTTTATTTTTGGCTTTGACCTTTGAGGAGACTGATTTTCTTTTCCACTTGAATGAAATAGTATATCACAGTTTTTGCCTCTGCATCCTTGATAGGGAATATGACTGAAAATCAAAAATATTTTTGGTTGATAGAGGCCCTAAAGAACATGAAATCTTGCTTCCTCAAATGTAAAGAATAATTTCTAAGCCATAGAGAAGTGTGCATTAAGATTAAAAAAAGGCAAAACAAACATACCATAATGAGCACTGTTGAAAGTACCTGCACGAGTCTTACATGAAGAATTATCACCACCACAGATTCCACATTTGTCTCTCCTTGCCTTTGAATTCAAAACGTGATCACAGCCTGCTTGCTACAAAAATAATAAAAATAAAAAGGCCCAGTGTCACTCAACCCAATGGAAAATAATGAAAATAAGTAAAGTAAGCTTCCCACTGCCCCAAAATATTGTTGTTAACTGTACATATCTAGTTTCCCTTGCAAATTCATTAAAAGTCATCAATTGTTTTGGATTCTGCAACGTAGAATCCAATATAGAATCGTGCAATCCCAACACACTCCATATGCCAAGAACTGCATAAGAATACATAACAGTACATAAAAATTTTGTATTAAAAATCAACATAATTTATACATTTTAATTTATATTTACATTAAAAGTCTTTGAAGTCTAAAAGCAGTATGCATATATACATGGTCATCAATTCATTTAAAGTCTGTCATTACTGAAAAGAAGCAAAGGAATACACACAGACTGTGCTGGTTTAACTAACATAAGCACAATTTTTGTTTATGTATCTGTACTTAAAACTTCCAGGGGTTTTTTGAACTATGATAAACAGGACAATTCTTTGGCATTTCCTCTTTATTCAACCATATAAAAATAAGCTATATTTTCTTTCATTCTGAATTTGCTCAGTTTCACTGCCATCAGCAAAACCTCAACAAGGCTTGACAAAAAAGTTTTGAATTGTTAAAATACAGCACCTTGCTTCTCCAACAAAATCTTGTGGCAATGCCATGGCTGCTATTAAGCAAAGAGGGCTGAATTGATTTAAGGGTCAGTTCTTCCTGATTTTACAGTAAAGTAATAATTACATAATCCATCTACTTGGATTTTCTACTATTTACTTCTTTGGTAGCAGAAATGCAATGCTAATAATCACACAGCATGCTTCGTTCCTCCCTTTATGCTAATTTTGGATTAGTTTCTCACTTCTCACTTGAACAATATTAACTCCTTCAAATGTGAGGCTTAATGAGGCAAGACTGTGGGTCTTCAGATTCAACTATATGTTCTTAACTTAATTGCTTCCATGTCCAAATCTTTAATTTTATACACAGTAAAATTAGCTTAAGTGAACTCAAAACACTATATTTTTAGTAATGTTTACTTGTATTAATATTTAATATCTATTTTACCATCTGTTAAAATTGATTTTAAAAATTAATAAGTTTAGATTTAAATACCCTGCATAAGCCTTGAACACAAAGGTCATTGGTTTCTGCTCCACAGGGAGTACCATCAGCAACTCTGTCCTTCAGCTGATAGTAGGAAGTTGTTCCAGAAACTCGGCAAAAAAGTTTACAGCGATCTTTCATAGAAACTGGAAAGAAAATCCAAGAGGTTTCTTGTCTGTTTTAAAACTTTAAATAAAGAAACATTTTAACAGTATTAATTGAAAAGATGTGTAATTACTTACTACCACTGTATTTTGGAAGCCAGCGAACAGCAGAGGTAAGACCATTGATATTAAAGTGTTTGCCATCAAATTCAGAGCACTGTTGCTCCCGGAAATCTTTTTTGCCTTTTGGACATGAATCAGTATTACATGACCGAAATTTCATCCTGCGACCAACACAGTACTTTCCTTCATTTCTTGGCCTAAAAAAAGGTGAATATAAAACACACTCCTTTTCTTAAATTGCTGTTTTGCAAGAAAAGTGGCCTCAGCCACCAATCTAAAGAGGGAAATCTCACACAGCATCCTGCTAGCTGTGTAACTGACTTACACACATCCAGCTTCTACTGTGCATTCAATTATACCCAAAAATAAACCAAATCCTTGTAAAATACTATTGTTGAGGTGGTAATCTCGCTACGGATGTCTATTAATGCATATTCATTTTTACTTCTCTTACAGCTACAACTATTTAGCCTGGGTAAAAGCATTAGTAATTTTAATACTTTTATCAATTTAGCTGAGATTATAGTCATATTTCTACGCATGCAGCACCTCCCTCAGTAATTAGAAATTATTACTTTACAGAGTGAAAAAGAAAGAAGACATTTAGGAGTTGGCACACTCTTTTCTGTACTCCTAATATTGGTTTCACTTCAGGGATCAAAAGAATAAAAAAGGGAAATTGTGGAAAATACCCCATTTACTGTAAAGTCTGAAATACATTTTAACAGTTATAAACACTGACACAAAATAATTCATTATTAGTATGTTCTTGGGGAAGAAAAAAAGAATAAATCAACTGCATATTGATACTATCAATCACTACAGACTGAAAGAGGCATTATCTAATGGCAATCTAATCTACTGCCTCTTACTCATTAGAGAAAATAAAATAACCTGGGCCATTTGATTGAAGTTCATTTATCCTACTGATAATATCAAGCTGACATGACTTTCTATAAAAACCATGAAACTACTCAGGCACCAGCTGTGGTTCTACTTCGGGACAAGTTAAGGGTAAAGTTCTCCTTGACCTTTATTACAGAGAACAAAACCCACATGGAATTATTTAATCAACGTAATTTTCTAGTTATAAAGGGAAGTTTTAAATGCCTCTGTGATAACAGTACTCCTTGTGGGCTGTTACTGGTGGCGATGTTGTGGAAAAGCCTTAAAGCAAAGCAAATCAAGCGTTTCACTAAAGAGATTAGTAGTGAATATATGTGTTTATTTTTGCAGTTCTTCCTGCAAAGAAAGCATCTAATGTCTAAAGAAACCTCAACAGTTAGAGTAAACCTAGAAAAAAAGTCCCTGTCAAACGGATTTTTTAGAAACATCTGCAAGAATGGATATTGTTGAAAGACATAACTAGTCTAAACGTCCTCTGCATATTAGAGTCTGTAAATGTATCTCTTTCAAAAAATATGGCTGAAAAAAGCACTTGATATTGGTGCTTCAAACTGATTTGCACAGTCCACTTCTATTTTATTTTGAGCCAATCCTTAATTTTTTAATATCTTCATTATGTAAATGTAAAATACATTAAAACATAATAAAAAATGTGAAGCACAATAAAAAGCCATACTCTGGTCTATTACACAGCCTGGTGGTGCTCTTGATTCCACCTCCACAAGTTCTTGAGCACGAGCTATAAGGTCCCCATGGTCCCCATTCTCCATCTACAGGGCGCAGCTCCATTTCTCTACTCACACAAATTCCATGGCGGCAGTGCTGCACAATTGACAAACAAAATAAAATTTATAATTCAAGCAAAAGATTACTGCATATTTTAGGCACAAAAAGAATAAAATTTAAGCACTCACTTCTCCTATCTGGATCTGCGTATTTTCTAAAATGTTCCATTTCCTTTGAGGTAACTTACACAGTAGTTACATTTTTAAAAATGCTATCCAGAGTTCTTTGATAACAAGGAAATCTGCTGGATATCGAATACTTATCTGTCTTATCACTTTACCCAAATATTTCTAAAAGATCTTGAATTCCTGATACATTTTCATTAATAAAGTTCAAAAAATAGGTTTCGAACTGCCTTATTATTATTATTTTTCAGTTTAACTTTTCATTCATGATGATACAAAAAGTGAAAATTTATAAGAAACCACCAAGAAAATCAGGGTGTTTTGAACATCTCAATAACTATCCAGTGGGATTGTTTGGGAAAAGCAGACAAGCAATTAAGACCTTGATTATGTAAAGCAAGATGATGCTATAAATTCATTCTTGAACTCAGACTTTCACACCTATAACAAAAAGTGTAAAATACTTTATTTTTAATATTTTATGAAAGTTTTACATTTACTACTCATTAAACAAAGCTATTACCATTAAAATGGAATTAATAGTGAAATTTAAATAATTAATAGTAAAGAAATAATAATTTTTAGAGCAAAATACTACATTGCAATGCCTATTATGCTACTTAGATCTTATTCTTGGGAAAGAACTACCTATTTCCACTAAAAAATTACATAAAGAAGGAATTTTCATTTCATCTGGTGGGATCTACATTAAAAAGAAGAGAAGACAAAGACTGCAAGACTATTTTGTTGTGATCATGTCATTATGAGACTTCACCACACTGCAATTGTATACTTTTATTATTTATGGAAAGTAATTATCCTTTTTTTCCCCAGAAGCAACAATCTCTTTCTTCTAAGTATTTACTATCTCTGTTCCTGACTGCAAATGTGTCCACTTCAGTGATTATTCAGGAAGTACATGACTAAAAAGTCTAAATGAGAATCTTATGATGGGTGCATGTGTGACTTTTTCCAAAGAATCCTCAGAACTACCAGGACTAATCCTACTGATGAATTACAATAGTTGGAATTCTAATTCACTTGTATACTTCAGAAAATCCCAAGTGGTATATTTGATCACAACATAGTGGAATACTTCACATGCTAAAATAGAATATTTACGAGACACTATAATTTCAGCACTACATCTCCTGCTGACTTCTATGTGGGAAACATGTCAACCTTGTACTTGACTTCAAACACCTTCTGAGGCATCAAAGACTACCCTCATCTGGAGACAAGACACTGGCCAGGACTGAATACGTGGGGTCAGTGCTCATGCATAATGGAGAGAATTCTTTATTTTAGATGCCTGTTTGCAGACTTATGATTAGCTTGTCCATTAATTAGGTTTGTTGTCAGGAGGGATTCTGCTAGTCGTATTGACAGGGAGTGTCTCATTCCAGCTTTCGCTGCAGGAAATACAGTGTATGGATCAGTCACTAGAGCAGGTAATATCAACTCAATTGCTTATTATTTCTGAAGCCCAGGCTTTGCCTCTCTGCAAGAAAAAACAGCCTCAAATCACCTTAAACTCTAGAAGGATTTTGATAAATGAAGTGTCTGGCACATAAAACAATTAAATAACCTCTGATACACAAAAGATTAAGTAATAAAACAAGTATTAAACCCCATATTTTTAAAAATTAATTTAAATGTTACATAGAATTTCTTAAGAGTTATTAGAAATTTATTGCAGAAACTATCAAGAAACAAACATCTCTGAACACACAAAAATTGCGTGCAGTCTTTCCGAATATAGCTGACTGGCACAAAATTCCAATCTTGTTCAGTGGTTTTATCACTGCCTAAAATAAGTCCTAGAGAATTTTTTTTCCTTATTAGTATATACTTTTGTTATATTGATACTTATGTTCACATGCTATCAAACATTTTCTTCTCAAATTAGGAATTTGCCAAAGAAACAGGCTCTCTTTTCAGGCTTCTGCCTAAGTTCCTAATCAAACTTGATGATAAAATTGCCTGCCTGAATAATTCCTTGTCATACCAACTCTTGCATATAGGCAGTACTCTTAAGATCTGAATGCTCTCCCCTAACAATATGATAATTCCAGTTGATTCTTAAGCCCAAAGCAAATGCAGAACAAAGGCTAGATCTTGGCATAGAACTGTGTAAATGATCCAGTCAATTGGTCAGATCATCACTTAATGCTAAAACTAATGTTTTAACCTAAAATCAGAAAGCCACTATTATTTCACCACATAAGAATTCTCACTGGAGTTCTTACTGATAGTTTGAATTATTTTTTTTCAACATGGCTTTCACGTACCTTTACACCCAAGTCTTCTAGTATCTAATATCAAATCCCTAGCAATCAAAGACAGACTTTCTACATAGTCCATACATAAGCTAAATGAGGAACATTAAGAACTTGTCTTTCCAAGAACTGTCCTTAACATCTTAGGAAACAATTTTTCACAGTATAGGCTGAAGAGTCTAAATTGTCCTTCACAAAATGACTACTACATTCTATTATAGAGACTGACCTAGCATTTAGGTTCTTCCTCCATCCAGAAAAACATTTACAATAACTTGAAGGGAGATTTCAAGAAAGGAGTTTTTAAACTAAATTTTATAGTCACAACAGTACAATTTTAATCCATAAAAGTGCAAAGCATATGCTTACATCTGGGATTTTAATAGCTTATTCAACAAACTTGTCTCAGCAATTATTCGGCTGCATTAGAAGCAACCTGATGAAGTCACGGTAGAAAACTCCAGAACCACACATGTTCCAGATGTCCTTCTGTGTTCACTTGAATCATTGCTTCACTGAGAATAGTATGATTCACAGAGCTTTCATAAACTTAAATATAATTGCTAACAATTTTTTCTACATTTTTTTATGGCAAATATAGCATATGCATCATGTAAAGTTGGTATCACACAAAATTCCAGACATACTGATTGCAGCAAGAGGCAAGGCTGCTCCAGTCAAGATCAACAGTTGGGTTTTCTGTCAAAAAACCTAAAAATGCTTCAAATTTGGAATCAATAAATCTATGGGTACCCAATTTTTTTTTATTACTAATCTCCTTATAATAAGCACTTGGGGTCTTTCCTATGGATTAACCTATTTGGTAAATTGATTTTGAGAGCTTTAAATTTATCTCCTACTGAACTTTCTAAATTTCCTGGAAAACAACCTTGAAAGAAATTATTAAAGCATTACTTGACAGGCTATGCTCAGCTTTGACTAAATCAAGGAGAGTGGTAGATGCATGCAGAAAAGGACTAGAGCTCCTCTGAAATCAAGCACTTCCCACACAGCCCACCAAGATGAGAAGTGAGACCCTAAGGCACATAAAATGAGCTAAAGCAGAGCAGTTAATAAAACGAGCATACATGGCAGAAGAAATGGAGCTTGGAAAGACATCGAACTGAAGGTGTCACCACAGCATCTCAGGTCTTCATCTCTGTGGCATGGATTCTCAGACGAGTGTACATTTATTACTCAAATGACATTATGTACAAAACCCACACTATTTGAACTTTTTCAATGCTTTCAATTTTTTCTTGCACAAAATCTGCATACTTTATTTCTCCCTTGGAACTTCTAATTTTTCCGAAATTATAGCTCATAGAAAAATATTTCACAGAAATCGCAGTTTACAGAAAAAATTTATGGTTCGAGCCCATACTTTAGTCTGTTCTTACAGTTCAAAAAAATCTGCTGCTACTTTCCAGGTGGTGAACATATTCCCCAATCCCCAACTCTGATAAAAACAATCTGATTTTTTTTATACTTACTTTACATATATACACATAAAATAATTTATTCTTTCAGATTCAGTATCTTCATGTATTACCTTCATGAGATAGTCAAGCTATGTAGCAATTCTAAATAGTAATGAATAAATGGGTACTACCTACCAGTGAAGAACAGCAAACTTACTTTAGAATTAGATGAGTATTTATTTTACTGCTCAAAGCAAGTCTTTGTTGTTCTGCATCCCCATTCTCAGTTGTACCTGTATCCCTGTCTTTTATGCCAAAAAGTCATAAAAGATGAAATCTTTATTTACTCAATAGCTATTCTGAATATTTTTAGATGCTAGCTCAATATACATTACATATCTACAGTGAATATACTTGATTAACATCTCTAAAACACAAAAAAGGCACGTGCTTTTCTATCCAACTGTAACTTGCATCATGTGAATTCCTTCTTGCTGTTAAAGAGATTTTTCCAAACTTCAGTGACAGTTGGATTCTTTCAATGTTTAAGTAGCAAACTGCCATTATGTAGAACACTGGGATATCCCCAGGACACAGAAAAGGTTGGGACAGAATCATATAGCGACCTCCTACCTCTCCATTCCAATGCTCAAGGAATCATGAGGATACAGGCATATTTCTATATTCCTCAGGAATCCAGGAAGGATCAGAAGGCAACCTTTTGGAGTGCCTCAAAAAAATAGTAGTAAGCCACTCACACTTTATTTGTTATTTTTGCTGTTATTTTCATAGGAATAAAGACTTGTTCTGAGAATGCCACTCCTGGAAGATGGGTGTTTTCAACAATTTTTCTTCTTTGGAAGTGGGCTTTTTTTAACTCAGATATGCTTCACTAAATCCAACTGCTGGAGCCATCCACAGAGTAAGATCCATTAATACAACACATGACATGTTTGAAATCTGAGCTTAAAAGGTTGATACTAAAAAACAAATGCCTTAAATGGATCTTTTCTGTATCCATCACAGCAATAATGCCGCAAATGCCAAATATAAAGCAGTTTAGCTTCCTGGAAAATATTTATTACAATTAATAGGCACCATGTCTTATGCCCATTAACATCAGTGGCAACGTGCAGTGGGAGATTGAGAAGAGCTGTCCCTTAGTCAGGAACAGATGACAATTTGTCAGATTAATTAATTGCTGTTCTTTCTTACATCTTTCAGAGGTAATGACTGTAATTAGCTCTTTACTTCCTAGAGAAAAATGGTTCCACTGTGCTAATTACATAAAAAAAGGTTTTTGTATTCCTATATAAAAGCAATCCTCTGATGTTGGCAAATTAGAGTCAATTTAACTGAAGATTACATGTGAAGTTTACATAAAAGATGAACTTCCTTTCTGATGAGTGACTGAAAAATGGGTTAAACATTGTAAAACCAATGGCATGCATAGGCTATAATCAAGTAAAGCTTCCACTACAGCCTTCAAGTAGCTTTTTCGAATTTTGCAAAACAGAAAGAAGCCATTTGAGACAGTATACCCACTACATTTTTTATCCATTAAGACACTATTTTCAAATTCCTCATTAATACTGTCATACCAAACATAGAATCTTTTAAGATTAGAAGTTATTGAGGAAAATTTAGAAATAACTAAGTGAAATATAGATTCCTATTATGCAAAGTAATTAAATTTTTAAATCATTTTTGAACATATAAAATTATTTTTTTAAAAATTAACATTGCTCCCACATTGCCCCCTGAAGCTGCCAAAGCACACTACTATATAAAAGCAGCTCAACCTAATAAACCACCCACACTTAAGATAATCACTGTCATACCTGACCATGTAAAGTCTCAAAAATATTTATTCTCACAATACCCTCACAAGTAAGAATACACTTCTGTCTGCTGGTGGTGAAGTGAGATATGAAGAAGAAAAATTCTAGACCAGTAAAGAACTTAAGCACCTTATTTTTGTTCACTTCCCAAACTACATACAAATCCAAAACTAAAAGCCTCAAATCTTCACTGGATACAACTGGAATTCTGGATACAACTGGAAATAGGATACAATAGCCTCCACCATTGCTTCTGTTTCTATTGAGGTTCTTTAAGTGCCTTGACTATATCTATTAATTAGATATTCATGACCCTTATGGAAAGCCCAATTTTACAGATCAGGATCAGCATTCAAAGAATGCACATGAAGAAGTAGTGAGTGGCACCCTTATCACCGAAAAACTCCTTACCAAATAAACCAATGAGCAGAATACAGGAAATGCAGTTTCTGCTTCTTTTTTTTTTTTAATCTGCTGAAGCATTCAATCTGTACTTCAAGCAGCCAGGTAGCCTTACACATTGGGGTATGAGAACAGAGTTCCTGTTTCTAGCACTGAACAGACCCAAATATCCTGAATTATGTTACAATAGCAAAGACAAAAAATTAACACAAATTATGTGTGCTTAAGGCACTTCCTGGAGCAGGTGAAGAGCTATTGACACATGCTTTCATATCTTTGAAACAGATACAATGAAAATACAAATAACTCCTGAGACCAGATGCTAATCCAAAGACTCCCTCTTTCCAAAAAAGCATACACCTGTACCTAAATGACTCATACTTCATCTGTTCTGCTTCAATAAGCAGCCTCAACAAGATGAACTGGGGGAAACACACTTTAAGGATGTCATATTTCAGATAATTCTACTTTGGACACTGCTGATCAGGAAAAAAACAACTTATTATGCATGAGCTGAATGTTTCAAACAGAAGGAAATATGTCAATTTTCCCCTGATTTCTTTCACCTATTTTTAACCAGTGTGGCATCTGTAAACTTTAATAATTACTCTGAACAGACAAACTGTGGGTTTTTATGTCACAATATTACAGAACTAAGAGAAACTGCATGTAGTCAGGTAGACAATTTGCACACATCAGTAGTCTATAGGCAAAGTACTTCCCCACAGCAAGCACTGATCTTTCATACCTATATCCAAAATTGCAAGTACACAGAAATAAAACAAGGCTTACCATTCCTATACCACAAACTGTCCCATCAGCCAAAGGCATGTGCTGAGTACGACAACCCTTGTCAACACCTTCTGTGCTTGTGCACCATAAGCGTTTGCATTGTTTCTAAAAAGAAAACTAGATTACTTTTGTCGCACCTGCAATACCATTTTAGACATTAGTTGTGATTATTTTTATTTTCTTACACTGTGCAGGCTTAGTGTTTCCTGTTGTACTACCATTTTCCATAGAAAAAGCCCCACAAAACCAAAATAGATTTTGCCTAAGGCCAAGCAGGAATGTGGAATATCTGAAATCGATCCCATCAGATCAAAAGATAATTTCATTTTCTGCTTCAGTAGAAAATTTTATTTAAAATATATAAGAGGTTACAGTTAACATTACACACCACAGTTTCCATATAATCCCCCAGAAAAATACTCTAAGTGAATTTAACAGGAATTATGTACTGTCTAGAAAATTAAGCTGAAAACCTCATTTTTAAATTGCTAAAACACTCTTAACTGACAAATAACCCTTATGGATTAAAAAATTTACAAAGCAGTCTTCAGTAACACCATCTTCAAGTGTTTGAAGCCCCCTTTTCCTTGCCTTTAATATTCTCATAAAGACTGACTCCTTTTAAACAACATTTTACCTCACCAAAAAGCTCCACTTAATTCAGTCTGAATCTCAGCTTAAATGCTTTTCTTTAAAAAGTTCCAACAAGATATAGAATGCTGGTAGAGGAATTTTACAAGTTGTCCCAAAATATAACTCTACATGAAATCTCATCAGCAGTGAATAAATTGTTGTATTTGTGTTTACATTGCAATGGCCGCATTAAGTTTTCAAAATATAACTTAAGTTTCAGTACTAATCTGGTCAAGTTTTCTTTCCACATCTCAGTGTTGTATACAAAATATACACTCAGTCAGGCATGAAAATATTTTTTGACTGACAAAGGAGAGGGAATCTAGAATTTCAAACAAACATTCAGAAAAAATGTTTAAAATATTTTCTTTTTAAGTTAGAAGTTTCTAAAAAGCATTAAAAAAAGCAGAGAAGCAAGACCTGCTTTAAGTTATGACCTAGCATTTGCAGGAAGTGCTATAATTAATCCCTTGAAATTGTTGCAGGAAACTTTAGCTTATGCAGCTTTAGATATTTTAAAGGAATTATCACATCCACAGATATGGAAATCAAAATTAATTCAACCTGCTATTTCTATTGCTATAGCTTTCTCACATGTGAAATTGCAATGCTCTTTACTGAACTCTTCCATTAAAAAAAATATATAACCTGAAATTTTACTTATTACAGGATAAAATTATTCTGAAACCAGCAATTCTCAGTAATGTTTTAGTCTAGATTAAAGCATGACTTTGTCTGGTTTTCACTCACCAGGTAAGGGCATACTTGTGACCCAATACCAAAAGTAAGCTCACACTGCTTGTTGACATCATACATTGACCCAGGCAGCTGAGAGGAGAGATCATATGTTCCTCCACTAGGTTTGTCTAGGAGGCATTCACCATAACCAGTACTGTTGTAAAACAGGAACAAAATGTGAATAAAGCACTCAACTCATTGGGATCTTTCTCACTAGTCACACAACACTTACACATACATAACTCAGTGGAGTTATGGGTTTGCATGACTACTTGCCTGCATAATGACCTTCACTGAATTAATGAATAATGAAATGTACCAGATCACTTGATTTTCCTTTTTTGTATTTTGCATTTAGATCCACCAAACAAAATTAAGTGTGGTTTTTCTCATTTCTTTAAAAAAAGGAAAAAAAAATGGTACTACCTAACTTATTTCTAACATAAAAATTTTAGAAAATAAAGGGTGCTTATTCTAACCTACTAAAATAATCCTAAAGGTATTTTCAACTAAAAATACGAGTACATTAAAAATTCTTCTAAGCTTTACATGTTCAGTGCAACCTTAATGCTCATAATTCACTGAAAAAGTTAAATACATGTATTTTTGAGGCCCTGCAAGTCAGTGCTTAAACCAAAGAATAATTTAATAATAAATCAGCAATACCTTTAAAATGCTTCTCAAAAATAAATGGAATTGGTAAGGGGAAAAAAAAAAAAAAACAAACCAAAAAACTCCACTCCAAACCATAGCATTATATTGATACTTACTCAAGAAATTCAGTAATGTATTTTTGACTGCATTTTGACCAGGTCCATGGACTTGTATGATAATTTAAAGTTGGAGCCATCACATGATATTGGTGTTTAATTCCAGCTTCTTTACATTTAAAACTATCATCATGAGGCACATTAAACCTAAAAAGCAAAACAAATTCAGCAATAATTAACTGAAACTCTCACTGCTGTAGCAGCAAATGCTTGAGTTTTGAGTTTGAAAATGCCTCCTAATTTAATGGGACTCACTCAATACATCTATCTGACCTTTTGGCAATAGACATCTTTAAAATGCCTTACATAATTATCCTCTTATCCAAATGCTCCTACTTATATAGTCGTGGGTACAGGAAGAATTTTAGAAGTAACATTTTTTTTTTAGCTTACCAGAAAAATTCCAGTGTTTTAGGAGTGTGCCACTTTAAAGGAACAACCCATCTCCTCAACTGAATATACAAGCCGTGGCTGGTCTGTCCACAACATGCAACCCCAATACTCACATCATAACTCTTAATATTCAGAAACAAAAACTGCAGAGCACATCGATATCATACTTAATACAATTAACACATCATCTTATGTTACTATCTCAGTTCAAGTACCAAGACAAATAGCATGTGTCTAAGTGGACTTGCAGGCACAAGAAAATAAACAAGCTAGCTACTGAGCTCTGTAACGATGTCGTTACCTACACTGAGGCATGCTCATGGAGCTAGAGTATAACACCTTTCTGCCATCACTGATGAGGTATGCTTCATAAAATAAAATGCTGTCATCTCCTCTTATTTTTCAGTGTAAAGTATTTCTCTTTGTGTTACTCTACTGTATTCTGAAAGGATCAAACACAAGGAAGAATATTTCCGTGTTATATTAACAATTGTCTTTTCTTAAAGGCAAATTCCTAACAGGGCTAGAATACACTTAGAGTTAACAGAACGATATGGCACTACCTAGGTTATGTCCCAGTGTCCCAACCAGTTCATATGACAAAAGGACAGAATTCATCTGTTTGGACAGTTTTTCCTAGAATTCAGGATACCAAGCAAGTTATAAAATTCACAATTTCTTTACCAAGCTCACTGCAAGGGGCAAAAATAATGGCTCTTCTAAAAGGCTATATATCAGACTCCATCCTCTTAGAAATGCAAAGCCCACTGCTGAAAATCGGTCATATTTAAAAAGGAAATTTAAAAACAAAGAAATTACCTGCCAAGAAATAGGTACTTACACATGTCCCAGCTCATGTGCTATAGTAAAAGCAGCACTCAACCCATTTTCTTCACTTACAGAACAACTGCGTAGTGGGTCACACATTGTACCCAGCTCTGCTAAACCTGCAAAATCGAATCATATAAAACTTAAGAGAATGAATTTTCACATATTGCCATGTACTGCAGTGAATGCTACGGCACTCAAGCCAAAAGTCAAGTATGCAGCAAATTTACACAAATCGAACAACCACCTATCACCAAAGTACATGCCAGGAGAGAACAGCAACAAGAAATGTGAAAATATTATTTTTGTCTGTGTGGCTTGAATTTTGCATCTATTTTCTGACTTATTGCTAATACAATAGTCACACTGATATTCTCATGCATATAAAATCACACTGATGAAAAAAGAGTAACTCACCAAGAGTATCGCACTTCTCTCTAGCTCTGCAGATATCTTCCCTTGAAAGAAAATATTTATTTCAAATCATTATAGCATATAAAAGGATATTTGAAAAGTATTTCACTGTTGTTATACTAGTTACAGCAATTGCAAATCTGATTCTCAATTTTTAATGTTACAGGCCATTTAAACAATTTGTATTCTAGTGAAAGAAGTAAATGCTCACATATTGATAATGAAAGTTTTGGAAGGGCAAGATATGTTATTCACTTATCTATGAACAATGTCAGTGGAATGGTTAAAAGGTTATATTGTAAAAACAAAACTGAAGCATTTCTCTCACCTAGCTGGGTAACTGTAGCTATTTTAGATACTGTACCTAGTGATGAGAACAGCAGTATCGTGATGAGAAGGGTGAGTATCATCCAAAGTATTTTGTGCTTGCTGCCATAAGCAAAAATTACGCAGAGTGGTAGCTGCATTAAAAGTGATAGCTGGTCCTTCCTAAGCAAGAAATGCCAAAAACATCAAATAAGGGCTTTAATATTCATGCACTTGCACTTACTGCATTTTCATTTGTGCTGCTAATCTGCAAAGTAATGAATGCACATGGAAAGAAAGTCAGCGGTACTCCACCTAAGAATTCCCCCAGCAGATTTGTTTGAAGGGTCAGATCTGAATTCAGCTGCAAGTCATCAGTTTTAAGAACCCATTATTCTAAACAATGTATGCATTTACCATGTGTTAAATATTGGAAAGATATAGTGACAAGACATTTATGATAAGTAAATATTAAATCCATGTATTTCTTACAATCTTAAAATATTACAGCTGTTAGGGTTGAAAGCCTCCCATTGAAACCCTCTATAAAAACTGCCATTTTTGTGCCATGTTTCCATGAGCATAACCACACTTCAGGTAGCCCTGCCATAAGCTTTCATATACAATTTGATTTATATCAGTGTAGGTCAGCTGGAATTGCTAATACAGAGACAGGAAAATAGAGGCATTAAATATAGGCTTAGAAGTTAACCTTGCATTTCACATATTGTTTCCTATTTTAAAACAAAATTATGTAGTTTAAGAAAATATTTTATATTTAACCTAAAAAAAAATAAAATTTGTAATTACAATGTAAGCACACACATTTTGTTACTTATATAAGAATAAAGTATTTTAAATATTTATTTTCCTTACCTGTTCATTGTGAATTACAATTAATTTTACAATAACTATATTAATAAGATTTCCAATAGTTGAATCTTTATAGATTCCTGCAACCTATAGAGAAAAAAAAGAAGATTAGAGTATTAAACTCACCTGGTAAACGATCTATTTTAATGAACCAAACAAACGACCAAAGCAAACTAAGTCATTACACAACAGATATCTCATGCATCCAACTGCACCTTCTACCCAAGGACATGGTAACAAAAAAAAAAAGAGTTTCTCAGTTTTTAATACCTTTTAATAGCTTCAATTCTGTATTCCTTTCCAAACAGACAGACAACATGTTGAAATGCTAATGTAAAAAGTACACTTATTATACAGTTTATTGATAAAATATCAAAGAAAGGAAAAAAGTACTGTTACTGTGATTGTGAGACATAAGCTGCTTTATATGGATGACTTGTAGAATCAATACCTGAAATATTAGAGAGTCTTAAAAAGCAACTTTGAACAAATAAGCTGTAATCTTGCTTTTTAAATGGAAGCTGAACTGAGTTGTAAAACTGTATTGAAAATACCCATGACATATACAAAGGTATCTTTCTGTATACATAAAATTTGTATTTATATACCCAACAGACATTTTCATACATACTCTTGCAGACAGACAGTAAAAATCATTAGTCAAGTCCATAAACCAAAGTGAACTACTTTTAAAGTTACTTTTCATTAAACAAAAGTATAAAAAATTATGCACCCCAAGTAACAGCTTCAGATATCTCATCCATGTGAATTCTGGCTTAAAGCAGTAGTTGAATGACAGCCTTATGTAAACAAGAGTTGCCACCAAACACAGAAGTACTGCCTTTCCTCCCTTCAAGCTTGCGCTAAGGCTGCAAGGCTAAAAAAGTGATCAAGGAACAGATCCAGCTGCAAATTTTTTGTTGGTTTTTTTTTTTTTTTTAATCACATTATTCTGGTCAATAGGCTCTCATTTCTTGCGCAGTCTCCAAACACAAGTGCTGACAGAGGGAAAGAGGAAGAAGAACAGATTCTTTCAGAAGTCTTTTGAGCCACCTGAAATGGCTCAAATTGCTTCTGCAACCACAGCTTTGCAGTGTATAAATTAATTTGCCTGAGGTCAAGTAATACAGCTAAAACTTAGAACTGACAGAGCACTGGCTCCCAAGTCATGCTCCACCTTTCTGCGCAGCACTGTCCTTCGTGCCTTGTTGACAAACAAACTGAAAGTAGAGGATTCAATAAGAGTAGAGGAGGAGCCAGAGAGTTTCAGAACCCATGTGTAAAACACATTTCAGAGCAGTACAGCTATTGTTTGCTTCTTTCCATATGGACTGCTTTCTTGGTTACTAACCAGCAAGTATCCAGTTATTCTTAGGTGGGAATAAGGAACATCTCTCAAATACTCACTGAAGTGCTGAATCCACTGGGCAGGGACAAACTCAGAAGCCTTTACAAAGGGTATCTCAAATGCTCAATGTAGGCAGAACTTCAGTGGAATAAACTACAATTTTTCTAATACCAAAATTACCACAATCAATCTCATAATGTGTTCTTATACTTTGAGATCCACTTTGACAAACTTAGAAATGATATTTCTGGATATTTATCCTCCCCACAGTCAAAGTATGTTCCTGTAGGAATTGCTGTCTTAAATAACAAAATTATCACATCCATCTCAACTCATATAACAGGGAGTAAATTCCATCAATAGCCAATGGAGAAGGAGAAGGAGAAGGAGAAGGAGAAGGAGAAGGAGAAGGGATGAACTGTTCTGTAGACATGACTATCCAGAGATATGTATTTTAACATATATTTTCATACAAGACATGAAGAGCAGCTATTTAATTTCTTCATCCCTTTACTATGGAAAGAGACAAGATGTTTAATTCTCAGATGTATGAGGCTAAGGCAGATTAATTCCTGCCCAGCTCTTTCAAGTTTTATTTCTCTTTAGCAAAGAAGAAACAGAATATGGGTTCATTATGGCATTCCAAAATCACGTCAGAGAGGAATCTGAAAAGGGATCTGTGAGGATCTTTGGCTTATTCCAAGGATTGGAAGACACTTCTTCCAAGGCTTGATTCTAATACCATTTAAGCAGGCATAAAAGGCACTTACAACTGAGAATTTGTTACAGCATAAACCTATACAAGAAGATTACATGTGTAGCATTAACAAAGACCTCTTTCAATGGACATGGCTGTTGCACTTGGCTTTGTAGACCTTCATGAGATTCACACAGGCCCACTCTTCAAGCCTCTCGAGGTCACTCTGGAAGGCATCCCTTCCTTCAAACAATTCAACTGAATCACTGAACTTGGTGTCACCTGAAAACTTGCTGAAAGTGCACACAATTACACTGTCTGTGTCATTAATGAAGATATTAAAAAGTGTTAGTTCCAATATGGACCCTTGAGAGACATCACTCATTACTGGTTTCTGTTTGGACATTGAACAATTGATAACTCTTTGGACCAGTCAATTCCTTATCCATCTAACAGGCCATGCATCAAATCCATATCTTTCCAATTTACTGGCCAGATTGTAGTGGGGTCTGTATCAGATGCTTCACAGATGAACAGGCAGAGGTCTTTCTTTGCCCCTGATGCAGTTACTCCATTACAAAATGACACTAAATTAGTCAGAAACATATCTTAATTAACTTATAAGTCAGTCTAGTTAATGTCTGGTTTTGGAACAGAAAGCTCTGAAACTCAGAAACCAAATGCATTTCACTGGCTGTCAAGTAAAGAGCATGATGCAGGTCATGCTCTTTAGATAGTGACACAATCAACAAAAAAAACAAAAAAACAAAAAAAAAAAACCCACAAAAAAACATGATTTGTACTCTAAGGCTATATATATATATATAAGGTAGAATAGGCAGAGGGATTGAGAACTGAATGCGAGAGTTAACTAGGTTCAGCTAATACCAAATAATGCCTCAATGCCTAAACTGTGACTTTCAACCTTCAGTGCAAAATTAGCCATAAGTTTACCAAATGCCTCCTCTGCTATAGTAGATATAATTTCTGCTCTTGGGTGATTAGAATGATCCAGGCAAGGAGTTAAAACTGAAGCCATCTTGTAACTAAAACTTAGCAGCTCTTGTTCATGGTCATAGTAGTACTTATATTGTAATTGATGGATGTTCTCTCATTATAATGTTCCACATTAATAGTACCTTGAAAAAAATATTTTACTGCTGTGCAATTGCTTTTTGTCAAGGTTATACTGCTAATAAAATCTGGAAGCATAGAGGAGGCAAAAAAACCAACACAAAACACAGAGACGAGTCCTCTTTCCTGCCTGTTCACCCAATGTCCATTTAAAATATTTGAGCAAGAGTGTATCTTCAAAACACAAAACTAGTTACTCATACCTCAGAGGAGATGCATTACACTGAGTAAATATATGAGACGAAAATATCTCATTGCATGCCTGAAGAAAATCTGTCCCAGGACTCCCAACACTATATCTATGCACCATCTGAATTATGTACTGGTTATCTCTCTGGAGAATAGCTGAGAACTGAAATAATGTCAAGTAGATGCCAGAGGTCTGCAGTTCCTGCCAAAATCTGAAACATACCTGTTTCGATTATAAGAGAAAGTTCATGCTAAATGTAATATAACACTGCTCTCATTAATCATCAAACTACATATCCTTTGCCTCATGAACCCTTTCATGATCTCCAAACATTTAGTTATTACCACTGCTTTCAAAAGATCAAAGAGCAAGACTGTATGATGATAACAAGATGCCGTTACCAGCAAAGTTCGGAATACATTCTCAGCACGGTTGAACACAAGTGAAGAGAAAAATCCTGAAAACTGATAACAACAAATCAAACTTGAAGATTTACCTAAGGAACTAGACAGACTAAAATAATCCACTGAGACTTGAAACAATATAATGATGCGGGAAACTACCAAAGATCTGTAATATAAGATGCTTATTTTTAGTGAAAAAAAATTGAGGTAAGTATTTCCTGCTCCTATATTCTAAGGATACCACTCTCAGTCATCTCTTATCAGAGGCATTCATGAAAGAGGATGATGAAATGTGATAGAAACTTAACAGAATACACCATTTGTTTACAATTTTCAGATCTACTTGCTTTACAGTGATCTAAATACAGGCATCAGAGAATTAGGAGGTAATAGCCAAGATAAAGTGAAATTAGTTTCCAAAGATTTTTCAAACTATTAAGACCAGCCTCTGCACCAGAATACAACAACAAAGAATAGAAAAAAAAATTAGACCAGTTACACTTTAGTGGATCACAGCTTTTATTTTCATGGAATTCTGAAAAATTAAGTCAGACAGCGGTGGCTGCTAGTTTACTGGAAGCAACTTGGTCACAAAGTTTAGTTTCTCTCTGTCAATGAAAGTGTGACTGTCAATAGAGAAAAAATGCCTTATTTAGAAAAGGTGCTCATAAACAGGCAAGCACATCTAGAGGCTGGAAGGTAAGTAAATGATATATCCAAATCCAATAGGATTTAGATATATTTTGTTCAGCTCTTTTTCTCCTTCCTTTTTCCCCTCCTAAACATTGTATCACAAGATCTCTTTTTCTTTCCTCTTGTCAGTTACACACAACCATGGTACCAAGAAAATGCAAACATTCATATCCCCTGAAAGAAAAGTAGTATCACTTCACAGCTTCTATGTCTTTTGCAGGCTCCAAAATCTCCCATGTATCACTGTAGTGCTGAAAGCATGTAAGGATCTGTGAGATTTCTCCTTCATATTTTCCATTGTCGTACTGGAATTCTATCATGTATTTCATAAGACCCAAAATTTGTCTGCCATCATGAGATATATAAGTAGTTACTGCTTCAGCAAAAGAGCCATGTTATTTCTGTTGGTGCTACTCCCATTCTGTTGCATGCATATTTCTGTACAAAACTGGCTTCCACAAGTAGATCCTAATGGCAGCCAAGAATTCTCATACAAACTTGAACGAGTATACCCATGCCTCTGACTTTCCATTTTTCCCCCTGTAAGTTTTAGGTCATCTACTGCCCCCTCACCCAAGTCCTTTTCAATCTACTATCCCCTGAGTTAACCAAGTAAAGGTT